TCAGAGTATACACATGGCTTAGGAGAGTTTGGAATATGAAGTTCGTGTAGAAGATGAGTAATCCAAATGAGTTTTGAAGTCGTGTTTGCCATAGCCCTATATTCTGATTGACAACTCGAACGAGACATAGTTGGTTGCTTCTTTTCACTCCACAGGACAAGGTTCCCATCAAGAAAGATAGAATAGCCATAGGTGGAACATCATGTCTCAATGCAACGGGCCCAGTCAGCATCCGAATAGGCAATGAGAGGAATAATGGAAGATCGTTGGTAATGAAGACCAAATGATAAGGTTCCCTTCACATATCAGAGAATGCACTGGACTTCCTGAAAGAGTGTTGTGGTGGGCGCATGCAGGAACTGACTGACTTGATTTATTGTGTAGGATAAGTCAGGACGAGTGATAGTGAGATATTGTAGAGCACCTACTAAAGAATGATAGAGAGTTTGGTCAAGAAATGGGTGACCATGACTACTTAACGCCTCTGAGGTAGATAGAGGAGTATATATTGGTTTTCCATTCACTAAACTGGCTCTAGATAGAATATCTAAGGCATATTTAGATTGAGTGAGAAACAATGAGGCATATTTAGATTGAGTGAGAAACAATCCATTTGAGGTGTAAAAAACCTCTAGTCCCAAGAAGTAACTGAGTTTGCCAAGATCCTTAATGGCAAATTCTTGATGTAATCTATCAATAAACGTTGCAATAACTGCCTGATTATTTCCTGTTAAGATTATGTCATCGACATAAACAAGAAGAAAGAGAATGTTGGGGCCTCGTTTAAACATGAATAGAGAAGGATTAGCACGGCTGCAAGTGAAACCAACTTGTAACAGGAAGGAACTAAGGCATTGAAACCAAGCTCTTGGAGAGTGTTTCAAGCCATAAAGAGCCTTTTTATGGCGACACACATGATTTGGAAAATATGGATCAATGAAACTAGGAGGCTGTTCCATGAAAACTGTTTCATTGAGGTGTCGGTTAAGAAACGCGTTGTTCACATCAAGTTGATGTAAAGTCCAGTGTTGATGAACTTCACGAGAAAGAATGAAATACACTATAGACTCTTTCACAACGGGGCTGAAGGTTTGAGAGTAATCGAGACCTGGTATTTAAGTGAAGCCTTGGGCGACTAATCGTGCTTTGTATCGATCTATAGAACCACCATATCGAAATTTTGTGCAAAAAACCCATTTTGATCCAACAATGTCGGATGTAGTTGGTCTAGGAACTAATTCCCAAGTTTCATTATTTTAAAGAGCTTGTATCTCAGCATGCATGGCGTCAAGCCATTTGGAAGTTTTGGAGGTTGTTGTGAAGCCCTTGGGGTCTTTATGAGACAGTAATGTCATGTGTAAGGCACTTGATGTTATAGTTGTGAGATCTAAGAACCGAAGACGTTTGGAGATACCAACCTTTCCTCGTGTAATCATGAGATGTGTCGGGGAAGCATAAGGAGACGAGTCCGGGACAGTAGAGGGATGAGATGTCGGTGAATGAGAGATGGTTTCAGAGTGCGACGGAGATCTTGGAAGTGTCTCATCAAATTTAGCATGTCGAGTAGTGTAGATCTTGGAAGTAGCCATATAAAGACACCAGTATCCTTTGTATTGGGTGCTATATCCAATAAAATACAAGGAATGCTTCGTGGAGCAAGTTTGTGATCGGAATAGTTCCTTAAACAAGGGAAGACCCGACATCCCAAAGGCGCGAAAAACGTGAAAATTTGGCTGAGTGTGAAAGAGAAGCTCGAATGGAGACTTGTTGTCTAGCACGGGGAAAGGCAGTCGATTAATAATGTATACACCATAATTAAAAGCATCAACCCATAAAGAGGCAGGTGCACTTGCATTATATAACATGGCAAGGCCAATTTCGGTGATATGTCGGTGTTTACGCTCAACACGCCCATTTTATTCGGGTGTGTAAGGACATGAAACACGATGATGAGTACCATTTTCAACAAATAGGGTCTTGATTTGGTTGTTTGAGAATTCAGTGCCACCATCACTTTGGAAAAACTTAACTTTGCACAAAAACTGAGTTTGAACAAATGCCAAAAAATTGTTGCGAAATCAGATTTGTGCTTCAAAGGATAAAACCAAGTAAACCGGGAGAAATCATCAATAAAAATAGCATAATACATATAACCATCAGTAGATAAATTTGGTGCAGGACCCCATAAATCACAATGAATCATGTCCAACATATGCAAATATCGTTTTTTCATTTAAAGGAAACGGAAGCTTATGACTTTTGGAAATCTCACAAGATGAGCAAAGACCAAGTTTAGGTAAAAGAGAAGTAACAAACAAATGACCATGTTTATGTAATAAATAAATAGTTGAAAATGAAACATGTCCTAGACGACTATGCCAAAGCTCATAAGATGCCTTCAATCGAGTTGAATTTAGTTGAGCAACCAAAACTTTATGACCATGCTCAAGCACATAGAGTCCATTGTCAACCCTGCCCTTTGCTTGCACTTCCTTTGTGAGTCTTTTCTGAATAGAAAAATTTTCATTAGAGAATAACACATCAACAGGAGAATCGGATGTTAATTTACATATAGAAAGAAGATTCTTGGTGAGTTTTGGAACTACAAGAACATCTGCTAGATTAATATCCTTTGTAAGGGATGCATTACCAATTCGTGAAATATTTAGAATATTACCATTTCCAAAGGCAACATGTTCATTCCCATTGTATGGAGTGGAGGTGGTAAGATTAAAAGCTAATGGTGTCATATGCGCAGAGGCGCCAGAATCAACATACCAATCGGAAGAGTTGTCATGAACATTACATTGAAGTGAAGGCATGGGCTAAGTTGCCATCAACGGTAGGGTTGCGAGATTCAAAAGTATAAAGATCTGGGCATTGGGAGGCATAATGCCCGTCTTTCTGACAGAGGTGGCAATATGGAGGGCGACGACCACACCCCCGTCCACCAGAACAACCATCGCGACTGCCACGAGAGAAAGATCACAAAGAAAAAGTGCCATGAACGGAACGAAGAAAAAGTTCATGTCCTTCAGCCTATAAAAGAAGATCACAAAAGGGAGGTCTCGATTTGACAGCCTTGTGTGCTGTAGAAAATGTCTCAAAAAAGGGGCTGGGACCACAGAGGAACCAGTGAGATTTATCAGATTCTTCCATTGGTTGGCCTATTGCTGCAAGCTGATCACAAAGTAACTTAAATTTTTTACCATAATCATAAACAGAAGATGAACCTTTCTGAAGTTGCCTTAAGGAGTCTTTGAGGTTTTGCATTCTTTCAACTGAATCATAGTTATAGGCCGACTCTAGTGTAGTCTAGACTTCTCGAGCTGTTGGGAGGCCTAAATTTTTTGCCATAACCTCTTTGGTGAGAGAGGCCTGAAGGATAAGGAGGGCCCGCTGATTTGCTTCGTCCCAAACTGTTACTAGGGGGTTGGGAGATTGCTTATCTTTAATCAGAATCGTCTCAGAAGGACGAAGAGAAGCACTAGTAACATGAGAAAATAGGTTCTGGTATTTAAGAAGATGGACAATCTGATTTTTCCATAAGAGATAATTGGATGAAGAAAGCTTAATGGTAAGCATATGCAAGATAGTGTTGAGGGGGAGAGTACCATCAGTGGAGGTGCTGATGTTTGCCATTGGGATCGGAAATAATGAATGAAGAAAAAAAGAATGGCAGGGTCGGCTGTAGAAAAGATTGAGAGGATCGAAAGATGGGTGATACCATATAAGGATAAAATCAATTTAATCTCCAATAAATAATCTAGAGTGATTTTGTATATTGATATTTATAATGAATACAAGATTAAAAGATAACAACAATCAAATTCAACAATATGCCTAGCAACTAGGAGTCAAATTAAAGCCATCAAATTAATAACTTAATTAGAAAAATATAGTTCAATACATATCGATTGAAGGCAAACGAGCAACAAGCTGTGTTGCTAGCACTTTCAGGATGACAAAACCAATTCTTTTGAAAACAACATTTGTGAATATAAAAGATATGACATTAGAATGCATGATCCGTTGGACTTTGTTGAGGAGCTTCACTAGGAATGGTCGTTTATACAGCAAAATAATTAATAAACAATCAAATATTTCTATCATCGTAGTTCCGTACGACTCCATATCCTATATAATTGAAGAAGATATTTTTTATGGTTTCTAGATCTTAGATTATGATTAAAGTGGATCGTATATTTAATGACAGAAATCTTCCACTCATTAGTCCAAAGTCCTTAATTTCTTTTAATAATAAGTCGACATTCAAAAGTTATTTTAAAGTACGGTCGAAATTAATTTTACTAGAAATTAATATTTTAATTAACTTATAGGGTTAAATCTTAACCGTCAAATAAAATAATTTGTAATAAAAAAAAGACATAAGGTAATCTAACCAATTTTTTAAAAGAAAATAATATTTTGTTTTGTTTATGAATTTTCTTTTGATTTTTTTTAAAAAAAAATTTGTTTTTGAATTTTTATTTTTATTTTTTTTATTTTTTGAATTTTTGTGTTAGAAAAATAATCATTTTCTTCACAATGTCTCGTCACGGAGTATTGTTTATTTTTCAGAATTTTACTTTTTAAAATTTTTTTCTTAAAGAATTTACTTTTGAATTTCCGATGGTATATTTTGAAGTGTTTAATATCATAGATTTTCAATAAAATATCTACTTTATACATTAATATCGTATATTGTTCACATTATTATGTTTGTTTATTTTTTGATATATTTAAGTAAAAAACAAATTTTTTGTCGAAATTATGGAATTGTTGATCGGATTTCGGATATCTTCTTAAAATTCTGAAGTTCTTTTTTTCCGAAATCCGAAATTTCAATCTGACATTCAAAATGTTGGTCCGAAATTCTATTTGAAATATATTTTCTTGCCAGAAAAAAATATTTTGACTTGGTCTAGAATGCCAATTATTTTTGCTAAAAAAAATTTAATTATTCTTTTCAAATACATGGTTAGATTACTAAGTTCCCTAAAAAAATCTACTTATAATATTGGGTGCATCAAGGTAACTGGAAAGTAGTGGCTGAGGCGGACTGGCGGAGTACACTCACCGACTCACTTGGCCCATTTCCTTCAACCATGAAAACCACCACCACCGAACCCTTTATTGACCTCGAGCATTCACCAAACCACCACACTACGCTACTAAACCACCCCGAACTACAACAAGGCGCTGTGAGAAAACAGTCGTTCGTCAGGGTTCTCTCCAGTATCACTTTGGTCTCTCTGTTCTTTGTTTTAGCTTTTGTACTCATCGTCCTGAACCAACAAAATTCCACCAACACCACCGCTGCTAATTCATCCCCGCCGGAGGATAAATCTTCCCGACGATACTCTCAGTCCGCTCGCCTGACATGGGAAAGAACAGCTTACCATTTTCAGCCACAAAAAAATTTCATCTACGGTACGTTACAATTTCTAGAAAATTCCCATCTAACTCTCTATTTATCGTCAAATGTCGACATAAAATAACTATTCATGGAAATTTCCAGTCCTAATTTGCATTTTTTTTCTTGGATTATTTCATGATTCTCGATGGTTTTGCTGTGTGGATTCCCTGCTTCAGATCCCAATGGTATGTCGTTCTTTCGTAAACATTTTTAATATATTCATGGGTTAAATGTAGAGGTAATATGACTTATTAAGGTAATTAACTTTTCGGTAAGTTCTCATATCTGGGTAATTATCTTTTTTTTTTTACACATCTAGTAACAAACTTGTTGGAGGTGTTCACATATGATCATTATGACCATGACCTGTTATAGCAGGTTAAATCTTAGATGTGAACGCTTTCAACAAATTCATTACCTAGATGTGTAAAAAAAAATAGTTACTCAAATATGAACAAAACGAAAAGTAAAAATTAATTGGGGGAATTTGCGTTTTGGGTCCCTAACTTATTTTTTTTAACTTGGATGGTCCCTATTGTTTATTTTTGTTGCGCGTTTAGTCATTGTCTTACCTAAAAAGACTATTGTGCCCTTATTAATTTATTTTTTAATTAATTTTCTTATTTATGCATTTATTTTTTACATATTTAAAAAAATTAATAGACCCACATATTTGTATCTCCTCGGATGATCCATACTGTTTATTTTTTAATTAATTAATTTTTTTAGCTCAGATGGTCCCTACTGTTTATTTTTGTTACGCGTTTAGTCCCTGTCTTACCTAAAAAGACTATCAAACGGCCCCTAAGATTACCTAAAAGTAAAAATTAAATTACACGAATGATATGTGGGGTATATTAATTTTTTAAATATATAAAAAATAAATACATAAATAAGAAAATTAATTAAAAAATAAATTAATAAGGACAAAATTGTCTTTTTAGGTAAGACAGGGACCAAACGCGCAACAAAAATAAACAGTAGGGACCATCCAAGTTAAAAAAATAAGTTAGGGACAAAAACACAAATTCCCCCAACCACAGGGACCATTCGTGTAATTTAATTTTTACTTTTTGTTTTGTTCATATTTGGGTAACTATTTTTTTTGTACACATCTAGGTAACAAACTTGTTAAAAGCGTTCACATCTAGGATTTTACCTGCTATAGCAGGTCATAATGGTCATATGTGAACACTTCCAACAAGTTTGTTACCTAGATGTGTACAAAAAAAAGATAGTTACCCAGATGTGAACATACCGAAAAGTTAATTACCTTAATAAGTCATATTCCCAAATGTAAAATATAATATCTTTTGTTTATGTTTACAACAGTTTATGATATTAATCTTGATTATTTGTTTATTTATATATATATTAATTTTCCCTAGTTAGACGATATGACGAATTCGTGAATCGTGATGGTTTGTACTTTTGTACTTTTTTCCATTTTAGGGCCGTTATTTTACATGGGTTGGTACCATCTTTTTTATCAATACAATCCGTACGCTCCAATATGGGGCAATATGTCATGGGGTCACGCCGTGACCAAAGACATGATCAACTGGTTCGAGCTTCCCGTTGCCTTGACCCCAACCGAATGGTATGATTTCGAGGGAGTCCTATCTGGGTCCACCACTGCCCTCCCCAACGGTCAAATCTTTGCATTGTACACAGGAAATGCAAACGATTTCTCGCAACTACAATGTAAAGCTGTTCCTGTAGACAAATCTGACCCACTCCTTGTAGAGTGGGTCAAATACGAGAATAACCCAATCCTATACACTCCATCAGGGATTGGGTTAAAAGACTATCGAGACCCGTCCACAGTCTGGACGGGTCCCGATGGAAAACATAGGATGATTATGGGCACTAAGATTAATCGTACTGGACTTGTACTTGTTTACCATACAACCGATTTCGTAAACTATGTGATGTTGGACGAGCCGTTACATTCGGTTCCCAATACTGATATGTGGGAATGTGTTGACTTTTATCCTGTGTCAACAATAAATGATAGTGCGTTTGATATCGCGGCCTATGGCAGCGATATCAAGCACGTGATTAAAGAAAGTTGGGAGGGACATGGGATGGATTGGTATTCAATTGGGACATATGATGCAATGAAGGATAAGTGGACCCCGGATAATCCGGAATTGGACGTGGGTATCGGGTTACGGGTCGATTACGGGAGGTTTTTTGCATCGAAGAGTCTTTATGACCCGTTGAAGAAACGGAGGGTCACCTGGGGTTATGTTGCAGAATCGGACAGTGCAGATCAGGACCTTAATAGAGGATGGGCTACTATTTACGTACGTTTTATTTTTTCATATTTGAGTTATTTTAATGTGACATAATAAGATATAACATGGTGTGTATTCTAATATTCTATTTTTTTAATAGAATGTTGCAAGAACTGTGGTGCTAGATAGAAAAACCGGAACCCATCTACTTCATTGGCCCGTTGAGGAAATCGAGACTTTGAGATCCAATGTTCGTGAATTCAAAGAGATTGGGCTTGAACCGGGTTCGATCGTTCCACTTGATATTGGTCAGGCTACACAGGTAGACAGAAAAAAAAATGTCAATTTTGTTATTATTCTATGCTTATATATAATATAAAAGTAAAGTTTGTAAATATCATATATTAAAATTTGAAAAATAATAATGTAACAGTTAGACATAGTTGCGACATTTGAGGTGGATCCAGAGTCATTAAGCTTGACAAGTGACACAAACGGTGAATATGGTTGCACCACAAGCTCGGGTGCAACCGATAGGGGAATTTTGGGACCATTTGGGATTGTGGTTCTTGCTGACGTGGCACTTTCAGAATTAACACCGGTTTATTTCTACATTGCGAAAAGTAATGATGGTGGTGTATCAACACATTTTTGTACCGATAAGCTAAGGTAATAAAAAACATTAATTTTACTAAAAACCATTATATATATAATGTTGAAATTAAGTAAGGTTTTTTTTGTCTAATTTATATAATACAGGTCATCACTGGATTATGATGGCGAGAGAGTGGTATATGGGAGCACTGTCCCTGTTCTTGATGGTGAAGAACTCACAATGAGGTTACTGGTATGTGTATATATATGTATATATATGATATATCATTTTTTTTGTAAGTAGATTATTATGGTAGTTCTAATATGGATTTTCTTTTTGTTAGTTATGTTTTGTTTAATTATATTTGTTGTTTGTTTTATAATAAAAATCAGGTGGATCATTCGGTAGTGGAGGGATTTGCAATGGGAGGAAGGATAGTAATGACATCAAGAGTGTATCCCACAAAGGCAATATATGAAGGAGCAAAGATCTTCTTGTTCAACAACGCAACTGGAACAAGTGTGAAGGCATCTCTCAAGATCTGGCAAATGGGTTATGCACGAGTTCAACCTTACCCTTTTTAATTATTTATCCAACTCTTTTATTATATTGAGTTGTGTATTTTTATTTCTTTTTAGGTAAATAAAAACCAAACCGTGTTATGTTGATGATTTTTGGTTGGTTTGCAATTATATTTATTAGAAAATTGTTGTTTTATATCATCTGTAAAACATGTGAAAATGATGATAATTAAAAGAGTTTGTTCTGGTGTGAAGCTATGTAGTAGTTTCTTTAATTCGATTAACGGATCCGTATACGGCTTATAACTTACAATTTAGAGCATCGTCACTAGAAGCCTTTTTTTTTTTTTTTAATGTATTTCTATTTAATTGTTGTTTTTTTTTTCTTAAATAACCACTTGTTACTAGATAGCTTATTTGTTATTGTTTTTTTTTTTTTAATTGAATATACTCGAATGCTTATAAACATAACAAAACCCGTTGAAATGACATAAAAACTTGTTTTCTTCCCGCCATGGTATCCCTGTGTCCAACAACCCTATCATCCCCTTTCCACCCCAAAACCCTAAAACTCAATTCATATCCGCAAAACGCTAACCACAGACCATATAGTCTTCCCCCTCTCACCGCTGTCGCTTCGAGGTCTGGCTATGAAACCGAAAGGGGTTTCGATTTTGAAATCGGAGACACCTTCTTCAGGCACGAAAGCGCTACCGGCCGGGATCTCGGTGTTCTCGCTGCTGCTCTATATAAGAAAAAAAACGATAACCTACGAGTTCTTGATGCAATGTGCGGTTGTGGAATTCGATCCCTGCGTTACTTATCTGAAGCTAAAGCAGATTTCGTGTTGGCCAACGACGCAAATGAAGATTGCAACGGTGTTATAGTATCAAATTTATCGACAGTTTCGAGTGAGGAGGAGGGGAGGTGGAAGGTGAGTCATTCAGTTGCGAATCGAGTTTTGGCTGAGAAATATGTGGAGAGGGATTATTTCGATTTCATTGATGTTGATTCGTTTGGGAGTGATTCCAGTTTCTTCAGGTGTGCATTTGATGTTGTTAAGCTTGGTGGATTGCTTTACGTTACATCAACCGATGGGTTCTCTTCCGGTGGCCATCGTCCTAACCAGTGAGTTTTTACCTCATAACAATACCTGATCTTTGAGAATATCATTGTATTAAGCTCGTTTTGTATTATTATGGTTTAGTTCTTTAGCTGCTTATGGAGCGTTTATTCGGCCGCTGCCATACTCAAATGAAATCGGGTTACGGATGCTAATAGGAGGTGCAGTGCGGGAGGCTTCTGTTTTGGGTTATCATGTGTCACCACTTTTCTCATATTATTCATATCATGGTCCTGTTTTCAGAGTATTGCTACGTGTAAACCGAGGAAAGCAACCCCATGGCATGTACTACTACTACTACTGGTTACAGTAATTTCTGTAAGTGTAATTGTGTTTCTACAACATAGCTTAGCTTCTGATATTTTTCTGTACGCTAACAGGCATTATGGGTTTATCTGCTACTGTGATTCTTGTGGTAACTCTCAAGCGATTTCGTGGGACAAACTTGGTCAGATAAAGTGTCCTTGTGGATCAGATGTATGTATGGTTTCATCTTGTTGATGTTGTTGTTGTTGGTTTTTAGTGTTATCTCCCCTTGCATGAATGAATCATGATGTGGGTTAAATTAAATGTATCTGAAGAAGTTACAACTTACAGGTACCCGATTCACTGGTTGTTTGTGGGCCACTTTGGACAGGGCCTCTTCACTGTGCAGAGTATCTTGCAGAAATGGTTAGTTTGGCAAGAGAATGGGGATGGTTGGGAGATGACATGAAAAACAAGGATCTTGATAAGCTATTGAATCGGTTGATTGATGAAAGTCATCCCGATTTATCATTTGGTTACATCAAACTTGATGAGGTAAGTTCATACTGTTTATTTTTCATCTTTGCTTGTGCTGAATCCATTTTGAAGTTGTATTATGTTTTGTGATATATGTAACAGATAGCAAGTCGTGCCAAGGTCAATTCTCCTCCTATTGTGACAATAATGAATGCCATCCATCAGGTACTCCCTCCCCAAAGAGATGTAAATATAATATCTTTGTTATGTCAGTATATCTGTATATGATGTTTTGATATTGCTATGGTTTATACTTTATACTTTATATTGTAGGAGGGATATGGTGTTAGTAGATCACACATTTCCAATAATGCAATCAAGACAAATTGTCCCATGTCAGAGTGTATTAGGATCGTGAAGGGACTCCAACTCCAACAGTCGTGAGCTTTTTATTTAAAGATAGACAACCTGAATCTTGGTGGTTGTAGAGAAACAGACATTGATTGGGAATGGTTACTGTGATCAGAATATAATATAGAGTCGATGTTGCTTTCTTTCTCAATGGTCAATATGGTCAATGGCGATGGATTGAACCCTAGGTAACCTAGGGTTTGGTGTTGTGGGTGCCAATAGACATTCACAACCTCAGGAAACAAACACATTTTCAGCAATTTGAAAGAATTGAAATAAGTTGTGTGTTAAGTTGGCAGGAAATGGAAATCTCCTCTAAATATCTGTTTGGTAGACAAATATTAAATAATAAACCACAAAACATATAGTTAGTTAAAGAGTAGAGAGAATATTTCTATATAGAAATAAAAGAAAGAAAAAGAAAAATAACTTGAAATCAGTGGAATAAACAACAACCAACAAACATAAACCAGGATCAACTGTCATCAACTCTTAGTTTTTTTGAACGAACAGAAACTAGAAAGGGGAGGTTACAATTACAAGAAGCAAAAAGCAAAAAGCAAAAAGCAAAACAACAAGACATGGGTTTATACATGTTTTGCAATTTGCATACATACATACACAAAGGCCAAGCCCCAAGGAAAAATGGGACTTTACTTATTACATGCATGTCCAAATGAAGCATACACCTGCCATCGTGTGTGTAGTAGGTAAGGTGTCAAAAGTCTTTCCTTTTAAGGGCATTCTTTCTCATAGACTTGGCTTGCATACTTCCAGTTGATGACTTTCCAAATATTCTTCAAATAATCGGGTCTTACATTTTTGTACTGCATCATTCAAACATTTAACTATATCATCAATTGATCGTTTAAGTGGAACAAACAGGAGAATTTTATTCGCTACATAAGATAAGATACACAGACAGACCATAAAAAATTTATATGATGATTAACTAACTACCTGTAAGTAGTATGCATGCTCCCAAACGTCTATGCCAATCAGAGGAACCAAAGTTGCACCTTTTGTAACCAAGGGGTCCTGCACCACAAGTCACAACCAGATACATACTTAATAATCTAATCTATCAACTAGTTGTATTATTAATGTAGAATTTTTTTAGATAATTTATTCAGTAAAAGGCTCAACAAGATTTGTTATAATCACTTATGTGAATTGCATGTATACCTGGTTTGCAGTTGTCTCAACCACAAGCCTTTTCAACTCCTTGTCCACTGCAAGCCACTGCCGGTAGTAGTAGTAGTAGCATATCACAATTTTATAAAAGTAAACATATCAAGATGATTGATTGATAAGAGAAATAATAGATGAACATAACATACCACCCATCCAGAGCCCTGCACAGCAGCACCTTCAGCATTCATCTTGGCAATCAACTTTTCCATTGAACCAAAGTGTTGGTCAATAGCCCACCCCAAAGAACCATGTGGTGCCTCACCACCACCTTCCTGCAAACCAAAACAAAATTCAGGCTTTCACTCAGAATCATCCTTCAACTATCAGGAAACAGACTTACACTTGTAGGAGCAAGATTCTTCCAAAAAATTGAGTGATTCACATGACCTGATTACACAAACAAAAAGGGGATGAATCAATTCTAGGACATCCAGAAAACGCAATGTATTATTCACTTCAATAAAAATCCCTAAAACCAATTAATCAAACACATCAGTAACTGCATACTATGAATTGATATATATCATGTTGCAAGTTCAACTACAATATTCTATTTGACGTTCTTGTTCTCAAGTATGGTGTAGGTAGCAACTTTTAGAACTTGAAATCCATATCAAGTTAGGGATCAATATGCAGCTTCCTATTTTAGAACAATTCACTGTAAGAAGTTGTTGAATTGGTTCGACGGAAACTACCGACAAAAAGATAAAAGTATCTGTACTGGAAATAAGATAATTGGATGGAGAAAAGGATAAGAATCGAACCTCCGCCATTGAACTTAATGGCGCTCTGCAATTTGACGGCAGTGGAGGCATCACCCTTAGCGATGGCGTCATCAAGCTGCTCGAGAGCCTTATTGTAGTTGGTAATGTAAGCCTGGTGGTGTTTCTGGTGATGGAGCTGCATAATCTCTCCGCTAATCACCGGCTCCAGAGCGCCATAATCGTAGGCGAGATCCGGAAGCGTAAACGTCTGCAGTCCACGAATCTGTTGCTGAAACCTGGAGAATCGACCTAGGGTTTTCCCACTACTGACTAGTGTTCGAAGAGCCATTTGTTCTGCGAATCAATTGACTTGATAGAAATCCAAGTACACAGAGACTTATATTTGGCAGCGAAATGGTTCCAAGTTTCCAAATGGAATCTGTGTGCACCGTCCTAATCTATATACTTTTCCCTGCGGAGTGCGCACGACACTACACTTCTCTAAGTTTATAGTTTTGACCCCTAGTTTTCAAATATCATTTTATTTATTATATTTTTATATTATATATTGTCACCTAACCTTCTTTAGAAAATAGAAATACAAGTTAAAATCTCCAAATGAACTAAAGTCTAAAAGAAAATCTTATAACTTAGGGGTTGTTTGTTTGGCAGAAATGAAATGGATTTTGAAGGAAAATGATTCCATTCCAATTCCCTCAAATTCTTATGTTTGGTTCACCTTTAAGGGAAGGAAAAAGAATCCTAAATTAAATATTTTCCCTTCAAACGAAGGAAAGTTCATTCCTTCACAATCTCAATGGAATTAATTCGTTCACAACATGGAAAGTAGCAGATTACGATATTGCCCTCGCTTCATCTGTAAGCCATACACTACATGGTTTCATCAGTAAATCTAACATCGTATTCTTCTCATTCATTCAGCCGACAACCTCTTTTGGGCGTCTTCTCCACTTCGTCACTGGGGACGACTGACGACCTTCATCCCATGTGATCTCTCTCTCTCTCTCACCAAATAGCCCCTGGAAGTCGACCGCAAATAGGGCTACTGTGACAATCGTTGCTGCTAAGAATCTTAAAAAAAAAAAAAACCTTTCTTTGTCTTCAATCGCTGCTAATAACATTTTTCTGAAATCGTTGTTATCAATCTTGCTACTGTGACATCACTACTGCTATGAGAATCTGGAAAAAAAAAATCCTTTTCTTTCTTTTTAATCGCTGTTGTGATAGAACAGAAAAGTTGTTGTGGTAAACATTTTCCATTTTGCTTATGAGAAAATAACTTGCTGCTCATTATAGAAATATATTTCAGAAATATGTTGTAATCAAATTATACCATCTTGCTGTTGAAATCGAACCTAACAATCCCTTAAATAAAATTTTACTATTTTTATAATTTATATAATGCATCTTTACATATATGTTAAAAAAACAAAGTAAAATTAAGTAAAATAGACAAAAGGGCAATTATGTCATTTTACATGGATTCCAATTCCAATTCCTGCAAACCAAACAGGATCTGGAATTAATTCCAATTCCATTTCCGGCCAACCAAACAGGATATGGAATTGGATTCAAATTCCTAATAGATTCATTTTCCAATTCCAATTTCAATTCCTTCAGCAACATTCTGTGAACCAAACAGCACCTTAGTGTTTACCTCACACGATCTTCTCCCCCTCCCCCTTCTCCCCTCTCAACATTTCCTCATGCTTCTTCTTCTTCTTCCCCGTCATGTTCTTAACATCTCTAGAAAGCACTTATTATTTCTGCTATGTATCTCTCTATTCGCCTCCCCTCTCACCGGACAACAAGATTCTTGACGATTACTTTCTCGTAACTCGAATTTGTACTTCCAAAACAAAAGAACACTCTGACAAAAAGTTTAGAGTCTTCCCTAATTCATACGTGAACTACATATGAATTAGGGAAGACTCTAAACTTTTTGTCAGCTGTTTTTTTGTGAAGATAGATGAAACTGAAACTGAAGACATTCTGTTTGGAGAAAACTAGGATATCAACATTATTTGACCGATTCGTGAATTGGTTATTGATATAAGTGAGAGACGAGCCACATATGAGAACATATCCTTAATGATTGTCCCACATATGATGTCATTGTAAACTAATAGGACATAGAACGGCTAGGGTTTCGTATTATTATCAAATGAGAAGTACATGATACAATGAAAGGAAAAAAAACATAATATATAGACTAGCTAATTAGGGTTTTCTAGCTAATGGGCCAATATAAAACCTAATACAAAATAAAGCCCATAATATTATTAGACTAACATCCCCCTCAAACTCACAATGCAACAACAATAAGCATTGAGAGTTTGTCACACAGAAAAATGAAATCGAGGAGCAATCAAAGGCTTCGTAAGAATATCAATAATCTGCAAGGTGGAAGGAACATAAGGAAGGGAGATAGTGCCCTTCTGGAGATGATGTTGTGTGAAATGACAATCAATCTTAATGTGTTTTGTGCGCTCATGAAACACTGAATTCTTGGCAATCATTATCATACTCTCGTTGTGACAATACAAAAGGGTTAAGCTGAGAGATGTGAACACCCATATCTGCAAGAAGTCATCTCAACCAAACAATATCACAAGTGGTGATAGTCATGGCTCGATACTCAGATTCTGTAGAAGAACGAGAGACAACATCTTGTTTCTTACTCTTCCATGATATCAATGAATCTCCAAGAAAAACACAATACCTAGTAGTGGACTTATGATCATAAATATCACTATCCCAGTTAGCATCACTATAGGAACACAACTCAAGAGAGAATGTAGATGGAAACACATGGGTGCGAAACCGAGTACCACGAAGATATCTCAAAATACGAAGAACAACTCACAAATGAATCGTAAAAGGGGCAGTGACAAAGTGGCTAACCACATGAACTGCATGAGAAATATCCGGTCTAGTGACAGTCAGGTAAACCAAACTATCTACAATGGTACAATAAAGGCTTGGATATGATAAGGGGACACCATCAGTTGGAGAATACTTTGCATTACTCTCTATAGGCGTATCAACTGTCCAATTATCCGTGAGTCGTGCGCGTTCAAACAAGACTGAAATATACTTCGTTTGAGATAAAAGATAACCCTTTGGAGACTGAGCAACTTCAGTCCCCAATAAATAATGTAGCAAAACAGTGAGCCAAATCACGTTTTAAACACTCTATACCATCATGATCATCAACTGTAATAATCATGTCATCGACATATAAGGAAAGAATAATCCAACCTGCACTCGTACATCGAACAAATAGAGTCGAGTCATGGTTACTTGGCTTAAAACCAAGCAAAGTAATCACCATAAAAAAATTCTCAAACCAAGCATGAGGGGCTTGTTTGAGGCCATATAGTGCCTTCCAAAGTCGACAAACTTCACCTGGTTGCTGAGCAATACCAGGGGAGGAGACATGTATATTTCCTCATGAAGATCACCATTCAAGAACATATTCTTGACATCCATCTGATAAATCTTCCATTGGCGAATGGAAGAAACTGCAATCAATGTGCGAACAGTCGTCATTTTTGCAATAGGAGCAAAAGTCTCCTCATAATCCATACCATACTTTTGTGAGTACCCTTTCGCAACAAGTCTAGCTTTATAATGCTCAACGGATCCATCATACTTTGTTTTGATTTTATATACCCAACGAAAACCAATTGTGTGCTTTCTGGGCGGAACCGAAACTAGATCCCACGTATGAGTCTGATAAAGAGCTGCAAGTTCCTCAGCCATAGCGGTTTGCCAGAGAGGATCAGACACAACCTATTTATAGGATGTTGGCTCAAAGAAATGATGTACACTAGAAATAAAGGAGGCAAATAGGGGTGAGAAAGATGAATAGACAAAGTCAGGAAGCTTTGTGGACTTCTTATTACGGTAAGGCCTCGATGGTGGGGGATCCTGGTGATCTGCAGGCAGAGGATCAACGACAGGTGGTGGATCGGTAGCAAGTGGTGGATCAGTGGTAGGTGGTGGATCATCAATATCAATGCTAAACAGATCAATAGTACGAAGCTCCTCTCAGGTTGCATCATGTGACTGAACAATAATGCAATAAAATGGAATGTGCTCCAAAAAAGTGACATTGAGAGAGACATACAATTTCTAATTTAGTGGATCATAACACCGATAATCTTTCTGACCAATACCGTATCCCATAAATACACAAAGGGCTGATTTTGAAGACAACTTATCTCTCTCTACATGAGGCTTCAAGACAAAACAGGTACACCTAAAAACTCGTAATGAAGAATAATCTGGAAGTTGTCCAAACAACATTTCATAAGGAGACTTCCCCGAAGTGTGCACAGTAGGAATGTGATTAATAATGTAAGTGGCGGTATGAACATCTTCTTCCCAAAACATATTGGGAACTTGAGCAGAAAGTAGCAAGGATCTTGCAGTTTCTAGGAGATGTCGATGTTTTCTTTCTACAACCATTCTGCTGAGGGGTGTGTGTACAAAATGATTGATGCATAGTGCCATCAGATGCCAATAATTGTTTAAAATCATTGGAGATAAATTCCCCTCCTAAATCACACCGAAAAATTTTATGACAGCAGAGTGTTGAGTCTTGACAAGAGCTTTGGAGTCACTATAAATGGTAAAAAAAATCAGACCTGCGCTTCATAAAGTAAACCCACGTGTAGCGAGTGTAAGCATCAATGAATAAAACATAATAGTTAGCTGTAGATTTAGAGGTGATCGGAGATGAACCCCACACATCTGAATGCACAATATCAAATGGAGCAACAGAACGAGTGACACTTTTATCAAACGGTAAAGCAGAAAACTTTCCCAGTTTACAACCACATCAATCAGAAATATCAACAGTTTTCAAAGAACCTAACACACCAGTGAAAACCAAAAATTGTAAACGAGACGCTGACACATGTCCCAAATGAGAATGCTAAAGATAAAAAAAAACAGACGACGAATGATTTAAAGGAAAAGACGACAAATCAACACTAGATGTATCAACATCAGAAACATGTAGCTGCTCCAAAACATAAAGCTCCCCAAGTCTATGGCCTATTCCAATCACCCTCCGAGGCCGAATGTCATGTACACAGTAGAATGAATCAGAAAAGAAGACCCAACAACCAGACTTACACAACTGACTGACCGAAGCAATATTCAAAGCAAGTGTGGGAATGTAATAGACATATGTTAAAGATATACAAGGAGTGACAATATAACCAACACCCTCTACTGACATAGGTGTAGCACTAGCAGACATAACAGAGACATGTGTACGAGATGATAACAAAGCAAAAGACGACATATGTGGTGACATGTGATGAGATGCACCAGAATTCGATATCCACAAGGATGAAGGAATACCTAAAGTGTTGGATGAAGACAGACCCGAATGAGACATGGAAGCTGACATGACAGTTGGATTGGAAGCAATGAACTATCTGAACTGCTCAACAA